GTGGATCTGGTCAGCCTGCCAATAACCAGACAATGGAGGATCTCTCAAGACAGAATGGCTCTCAGTCAGGGAGCCTTACTTCATCCAGATCCCAATGGTTTCAGCTAACAGTTTGGCACTTGAACGGTCAGCTCCAGTAAAGTCATACAAACACTACAGGCCTCCAAGAGGCCTTCAACTAACAGAATCTACGATGCCACTTGGAGAGCCTTTTGCAGCAGGTGCTCCAGAGAACATATTAATCCAACTGATGTGTTGGTGAGCCAAATCCTGGTGTTTCTACAGGAGGGATTGGACAAGGGCCTGTCCCGCAACACCTTATGGAGGCAAGTGGCGTCTCTGGCATGTGTGTTAGGCTTTGGGAAGTTAGAATCCCTTGCCTTACATCTGCTGCTGTGCAGCTTTATTAGAGGCGCAACCAACCTAAAGCCCCCAGTGATACACAGATATCCCCCTTGGGATCCACCTGAAGTATTGAGGGCGCTCATGACAGAACCATTCGAATTGTTATGATCAACCAGCCTACTATTCCTCACCTGGAAGGTAGCATTCCTTGTAACCATGAGTTCTGCCAGAAGAATATCAGAGTTAGCCCTCTCCATGAGGGAGGACTTTTGTAAAATTCACTCAGATAGGGTGATTATAAGGCTGGACCCCACCTTCCTTCTGAAGGTAAATTCATCATTTCACAGGGTGCAGGAAATTATCCTACAAGATTTTTGCCCGAAGCCAAATCACAACCTAGAGAAAAATGGCATTCCCTCGATGTCAAGAGAACTATTCGCATTTACCTGAAGACAACAGCCTCTATCAGGAAAACTGAATCACTGTTTGTGTCATTCCAACAGAACATGTTGGGTATCCAAATCACACCTTCAACCATATTTCAGTGGGTACAATCTTGCATAGCAAGGCTTATGAGACTCAGGCTCTACCATTACGCAAATGGGTAACAGCTCATTCGACCAGAAGCGGGGCCAAGATGCCTGTGTGGAATACACAGGCCTCTATTGAGGACATTTGTAGGGCAGCAACGTGTTCTTCTCCATCCCTATTCATAAGACACTATAAATTAGACATATTTGCTTTGGCAAAAGGGTTCTACAAAAAATGCATTCAGAATCAGGGACTCAAGACCAGACTGCTTAGGGTCTGTCCCACCCTTAGGACAGTTGGCTTTGGTATGTCCCACACAAATGGATTATCCTTACAGCACACTGGAGAAAGAGCGTTGGTCTTACCTGAAACACTTCTCAGTAAGGATAATCCAATCCCACCCTAGCAACTGTCTAGTCTAGAGTTCAGGGGTAGTCATCACTAGCACCAATACTATTCAAGTCAATCGACACATCTTCATCTAAACTGGGCATGCTCAGGAGGAGGAGGCTTGGCCAGGAATCTGATTGACTCAGCCTCTAAGCGGAAGAGGAGAATATACCGACACAATTGGATTATCCTTCAGCCCACTGAGAAGAAGTTTTTCAGGTAAGACCAATGCTCTTTTTTTTGACAACATATCCACTTTCCATAAGTTTGATCAACTAAAAGGGGAAAAAAGCAGATGTCCTGGCTCCCAATGACCCACATCTTATGGATCCATGGTGTTTAGGTTTCTATTCATAATTTTTATCTAAAAGATTATAAGTAATCTTCAATCACCAACTGCCTAGTTTAGTGTCTGTTTGAACAATGTGAAAGAATAATTTTCTCACCAATCAACATATATGATTGTTGTAGCATCCTGTCATCACCTAATCATCATATATGTGCTTCACAACTGGCAGAGTTAATAGAGAAGGTGGAAGTAAAATTGTATGCTGCAGTCACATGATGTTTGCTTTAATGACTACAGCACTTAATGATCAAAGGAGAAGGAAAATAACATAATGCCAATTATATTATGGAATAATTGATAAATATTGTAGTTCAAATTTGGCACTTAGTGGGATAGATGAGTTAAATTGTATGTAATTGAACTGGTTTTTTTACTGAAGTTATAATTAACTGTTTCATGGCAAAATATTTAAAACTTCATTTATCACTATTCTGCAATTAGCAGAGTATCTGAAAAGTTGAAATCCTTTGCCATTGTTTTCTGTATGAATGCCTGACTTACTCAGTGTGTCATTGGGCAACAGAGAAAAGAAAGGAAAATAAAATCAAAATCAGGAAATGCAAGAATAATACATATCATTAAATGGAAGTAGACAATAAACCCAGCTAAAATTTGTTATAGACCCACTTCTCGGTAACCAAATTATGTTCTGACGACCAGATGATTAATCCGAATGCTCAAAAGATGAACATGTGACTAAGAAAGAAATGCTACGAAGATCACTCGTTGCTGCTGTCTTATTCAGATAAAGTTTTCTTGTATAACAAGATATTCTGACATGCTGTTAGGCATGCAAACTTTGGTTGTAAATGCATTTAGGTTAGAAAATGACTTTTTTCATTATAGTCTTATTTGCAAATAATCTCTGACTGAGAAGTTAAATGACAAGTTGATGTAACTCCTAAAAATGAAGTTCTCTATTTTGTGGGCCAAAAGCATGGGGAAGAATCAGGTTTTAACCAACTTCCTGAAAGTCCAGAGGTGAGATATTGCATTTTTTTTGTTACTATATCAGTTACTATATCAGTGGTAGGATTAAAACATTTTTACTACTGGTTCTGTGGGTGTGGCGTGGCTTTGTGGGTGTGGCTTTGTGGGCGTGGCAGGGGAAGGATACTGTAAAATCTCAATTCCTTCCCCACTCTTGGGGGAAGGCTACTGCAGAATCCCATTCCCTCCCAACCCCACTAACCTGCTTTCCCACTCCATTCTTGTGTGCAGGGCAACAAAAGAAGACCAAGCCGATCAGCGGGGACTTAGGAGGCAAAGAATAGATGGGGGCGGGGCCAATCAGAGATGGTATTTGCTGGTTCTCTGAACTACCCAAAATTTTTACTACCGTTCTCCAGAACTGGTCAGAACCTGCTGAATACCATCTCTGCCTTATATCTATATATTCTTATGAATTAGATGCAAGAATTAGCCCTATGTATATAGTGACATTGTTTTAGATTATTATTATTATTATTATTATTATTATTATTATTATTATTTTATTAATTTTATTTTAATTTTTAAATACTCTGTAGTATGATGTGGAATTTGGGGCACTGTGCTGGAGTAGCTTTCAAATTTCATTGTATTTGTAGAATGCAATGACAATAAAGATATTCTATTTGTGTGTGTGTGTGTATTTATTATATAATTTTTTCAGCACAAGATTCTTAATGATTTGGTAATATAAACTTTGAAACAAAAAGTTTAGTTTTCTGATGTTTTCTGTTCCATTAAATAAGTTCTGTATCAGGGGTGTCAAACTGGCAGGCTACGGCCCAGATGCGTCATGCGCTGGCCACGTCCCCCCCAGCTCTGTGAAGGGAAAAATTGTTGCGATTTGTCATGTGACAACAATGTGATGCAATGAGTTTGACACCCGTTTTCTGTTTGGTTTTTTGCATGTTTATAGTACTTAAGTGTTTCCTGATACTTTTTTAAAAAGGTGACCAGTTTTTATTGGTCTTTTGTATTATTGAATGAGTTTATGCTACTTTGTTATAGAGGTTGTTAATAAAATTTGTTTTCAGATAAACAGGAAATAGCACAAGAAAAAGCACTTGCTTTGATAAATTCTTCTTAACGTGCCAGCCTAGTTTGTAATTCAGTTTTTTTGTATTCTGTCACTCTCAACCTTAGCAGGTTTCTGCCAGCAGGAAATACAGATAGTCATGATCTCAGAACAGTTAATTGACATAAAGCTCTACCTTTTAGCATTTGTTTTTTGTGGCACTTAATTCTTTCAGCCATAAATTTTCACTACATTGTTTATTTACTGTATTTTTATTTGAAATACTTATATAACTGCCACATGGTGACCCTTGAAACATGAATAAATAAAGTGTAGGATAGTTTTTTTTAATATCCTTTGTTAATTTTATATTTGCAGTAGTAGAATATGAGCTAGTCTCTTAAAATTTAAACTGTTAAATTGAAATTCAGAGGATTTCGGCCTGATACTCTATTGGCAAAAATGAAATGTCTCATGAACTTTGAGGCCATTTATATAATAACAGTAAATATGATTTGTTAGAGAATTTGTGCTACACATACTGTTACTATCAGATACTGTCTTCTTGAATCGGAATCAATGAATTAGCCCTTGGTGCTATAGCTTTTGTTATTGGGGGTTCACTGGATTTGAGAACTGGGTCCATTTAGATGAAGTATGACCATTTTTCTAAGAGAAATTTTAACCTTTGGTGAAACTATTGCATTAGTTTCCATTGGTTCTTATTGCTTTATTGAAATAAAAAGATCAATTCTGTTTTTCACTTTTAGAGCACAACTTTTAGTAAATCTATTCAGAAGTGATGCAAAAGCAGTTTTTATGCTACACTGTTTAAATTATTGTTTGGGATACTATCGGTCATTTGATAATTGAATTTGGAAGCTTTAAATTTATGTTTAGTTTCTCAATTAAAAGCTAAAGGGATTTTGATGTCTGGCTAACGTATTTTTCTTCTGCAGTAACATTTGTGTGTTACTTTGGCTATATCAATTTATTCAGTTATAAAGAAGTTTTATTCATACTATAATTAAGGGGATATTGCAGTCCTTTAACCAATCAGTAATTGCTAAGATCCAGTAAAAGTATGCATTACTGTGCATCAGTTTTGAAACATAAAGGACCTGGGAAAGCTTAAAATTAAAAACAGATAAAAACAGCCTGGTTCAATTAATTGTTTAAATTGGAATACTTGGTTTTCAACAACATTATAGATTAAAATAATTAGATCCAGTTTATCCTTCCTTTTATATCTTACAGTATGTAATAAAGTTGATTTGTACATTAGCTATTTATTATTTTGTAGTTCATTCAGTTAGGAATATAAGGTCTGAATTAGTCCATTTGCTTTCTCAAAAAACTGCAGGAAGAACATCATTCAAAAAAGAACTTTTTTTCTTATAGCCCCTTGTGTTCATAGAATACCTACCTAAGTAACATGGGGCATAAATTAGCAGAAATCACTCATCACCAGTTCATGCAAGGGCTTTTTTGATTGAAGCTTATGAATGAACTTTGATTTCCATTTTTTTTATATTCATTCTGCTATAGCATGGGTGCACAGTCTGTGGCCCAGGGGCCACATGCGGCCCCTCAAGGCTTTTTGAGCGGCCATGAGACCTCTCCTCAGTGCTCAGTTGCAGCCAACTTTCGGTAAGTAAGTAAAAGTTCGACTTAATAGTTTTCAGAATGAATAAGTTGGGAGAGGGTGGCTGGGAGAACCTAAATGTTTTTTTTTTTTTAAAGTTGAGGCTTAAGAAATTTAGTCCTTTACTCTGGATACAGCCATTTTCTGTTTTGAACACACACTTTCCTCTTGCTCTGCTCATATGTAATCTCCCAAATATATAATCCACATGTGGGGTTTTTTTTTTATGAAAAAGAAAGAGTGCACCTGTATGCTATAGCAAATATAAAATTATACATGTTTAAATCTTTTTTCTCTTTAAATGATTAATAGTTCCTAAGAATAAGATGCTCATTATCGCCAGCTATAATGCGGCTAGGTTGTGGTGCTTCATAGAGGATTTTGTTCAGCTTGTATGTCTCATTCTGATACGATAGTTAGTGAAATGCAAATATATTTAAAATGGATAAGCAGTCTTTGACTTCCCAGTAATCTTAATTTCCATTGATGCTAGTTCTGACTGGGTGCATCCCCAATCTTGGTTGGTGGAAATTGCAGTTCATCAGTCCTGGAGGGTGACGAGTTCTTACCAGATCTAATAGGTCAATTCACTTGAATAATTTGTTTTACTTTTGACTCTGATACAGTCATTGTAATTGTTTTTATTTCAACTTGTACTTAAGTTGGCAATACTTTTAGTCTTTGTAAGGATCCCAAATCAGTATTACATACACAGGTTGTCTTAAATATTTTGGTAAAAAAAAACACATTTAGAAATTACTGCTGTGGTATTTTCAGTGTTAGTGCAGAACATCTATCTGTTTTGTAGGACATGCTCTTCCCACAGTTTGTGCAGGTTTCAGAACTCCAGATTTAGAAATAGATACCAATAAGCAGTACCCATTTGAGCAACATGGAATGCTATTGGTATAAATGTTTCACTTCTTGAAATTCAATATTGTTTTTTGTAACCATGAAAATATATAAATAAGACACATTCTGTAATAGAAAATATTTTAAATATCTATGCATCCTTAAAATGTATACTCAGGAAATGACCTTCTATATAATAATCCCTAGTATTTAGGACTACAGGCAATTCTCAGGTTACAGCCATTCACTCAGGGTTACAACTATTCATTCATTCAATAACCATTCAAAGTTAGGACGACATTGAATGAATAGTATTTATGATGGGTCCTTGTACTTCTGGACGATGCAGCATCCCCTCAGTTACGTGATCATCATCAGGGCACCTAGTCAGGATTATGAGGTTGCAGCATGCCACAGTCACAGGATTTAGATTTCTAACATTCCCTGTTGGCTTCCTGCAAGCAGGAAATAGGGCAGTTGGCGGTCATGTGACCTACTGTGTGGACATGGGGCTTACAGCAATAAGTAAGCCAAGGACTACTTGTACATCCTCAAAGTGATATACAAGCTGAATTAGAGATCCTCTCTAAGGAAGATAAGTGATTTAGAAATAGGAAGTAAATAAATAAATAAATAAATAAAACAAGTAAATAATAAATATGCTACAAAGAAAAAGAAACAAAAAAAACCCATAGCAAAAGCAACATCTATTATCAATTTCCATTTGCTAATAGAAAGTAGAGGCCAGCACACTACTGAAGGGTGATCCTGAAGTATGTTATGTGTTAGTAACTCCTTAGTGTCCATTCACCCTTCGTATGACACAGACACAATCTGCACTACAGCATTGCACATTCAGACACCATTTTCTTTCTACTCAGCCTCCCCAGTATAACCTCCCTTTTTTTTACAAAAATGACTCCCCCCCCCCCAGCTATTTTGCTAATTGCTAAAGCTTTATTATGTCTGCCTTCTGGTGCTTCTGTCTTACATAAGTTTAAGAGGGAATGCTGAATGTCCTTTATTGGAGGCTGAGAATGAAGATGTCTGCTGTTACTTGGCCTAGATAAATGACAAGAGAGGGAAAGAATGCTAGACCTTCTGGCTGGCTGGTTGTCTGCCCCATACCTGTGGAAAACAGCTTCCTTGCATGATCAAGCATTTTGATGATGTGGCTTAAAAGACTACCTACCCAGGTGTACACTAACTGCCTGAGCTTAGGACTTGTAGAGAGGCTTTTAGCTAAGAATGTGTGACTTATATATTCTGTGTTTTTACAAATACTAACAGGAAAGGAGATGAGGAAAAATATATGGACTGCTTGTTAATTATTTAAGAGATAGCGAGTGAGGAATGAAAAACAGCTGGAGAGTGAACACTGAACTAATAACTAGCAAGGGAGATATGTCTGAACTCTGAAGCAGCAAAGAATGTGTCATCTCCAATGCATCCACAGATCAGGATAGCATTGCGTTATTTGTGGGCAGAGTTAATCAGTTCCATCCTCATTTTAACTCTTATTAAGTCAGATCTGGGCTTTCTTGTTACTTTGGATTCTTTATGGCTTTTAGATCTTGGGGATATGGCTAGAGAATGGAGGGCTGCTATTTAATTACTTAACCGTTGCGCTTTCTGCCATATTAAAATCTTGTTTGATGCAGAGAATGCATGCTTCTTTGCTGGATGGAAATATATTACTGAGACTACTAATAGGACTTCTATTGAAGAAAGCTTTCCTTTGACCCAGAAAATCTCTATAATTTTGGCCAGTCTCAATGATAGCCTCCAAATACATCTAAATTGCTGATTTTCTAGATGTATTTCAACTATGATTTTATCCAAGATAATGTTACTGAAACTGTGTTGATTATCTAAATAGACGATTTGTGTCTGGACAACTAGAAAGAGTGGACTGTGGCCATAATATTTTCCTGAGCTTTTCAACAACTTTCTGTACCATCAGCCATGATAATAAGTACAATCATGAATGTATGGGCGCGTGGTTGTAGAAATAGAAATATTAAATAGTCAGCCTTTTGAATTTTCTTGTGGAATTCGCCATTGTTTCAAGGTTTGTATTTTTTTGTGATGTTCCACAGAATTTTCTCATGCTATTCAGGATCTACATGAAACTGCTGGAATGTTGGAGATTTTGAGTAGAATTTTGCTTCTTAATCACAGAATATTGAGGAAGAGATTGCTGCTCTTGAACATTGTCTATTCTCCAGCATGCCTATTGGAGAATC